ATAAATATTTTAAAAAATGAATATACAGTTTTTATAAGGTGTACATAGCTATTACCATCATCATTGTCATGTACCGTGCCGGTAAGCGTAGGCTGTCATGTTTCGCCATCTCACACAGTCACCAGAATTACTGATCAGTTCAATGTTTAGTCTCGCTTCATTAATCTGGCCAAGCCATCCAGGTATTTATCTCTTTGCCTTCATGTTGACTTCTCTCCACCATGATTGCCAGTTGTTATCAAGTTTTCGAGTGCATACCATGCTCATAACATGTCCCCCCCCCCCCCACACACACACACAGAGGCACGCACGCACGCGCGCGCGCGCACACATACACACAACACTACCTGTCTAATTCTAATTGTTCTAAGTTTTCGACTTGCATCTGTCTGGATGAGGTCTGCTCCCTTTGTTGTTTCTATCCGTCCATGTTTTCCTTTACATTGTTCTCGGAAACCACATCTCTGCCGCCAGTAAGTGTTACGATTATAAACTATTTATAAGTAATACATGATGATGATACGAGACAAAAATACATAAGCCAGAGTGCTGGAACCTGACAGCTTGGGCGCACATTGAGCTCCTAAAAATGTATGGGGGGGGGGAGGGAGGGCAATAGACCAGACTTTTAAGGGAGCTAAACTATCCCTCCCCCAAACGTGTTTTTCAGTTTTGTTGATGTTGTTTGAACCCATAATATTAGTTCTAATATATTATAAAACGAAGAGAACTGAATGCCCATATCAGAAAGAGACAATCTACATTCTTTGGTCATGTAATGGGAAAAGAGAAATTGGAGTACATTAGGAACGTTGTAGGGAGGAGAGGCAGAGGGAGACCGAGAGAAAAGATGCTGGACAGTCTGACATTAAGGCATGGAGGATCATCTGTGTCAGAGCTGACTTGACTGAACGTACAAAAGATAGAAAACTGTGGATAGACATGACTACCAACGCCACACGGTATGGATTTAAAGCAGAAATCTTTGTCCATAAGGAAATTTACAGATTTACATTCATAGGATTTCATGACTAAAAATCAGATAGAGCTCCTCAATATTATTAACAAATACAGAGGCTTTATGATGGACGTCCAGGCTTATAGAGGAGCGGATACGGGCAGTGACCTTATCTAATATATGGGGAAACTAAAGCTTAAATTAAAAACGGTTGCACAAAAACATACGCGGCAAGGAATATACAGTCAAAGAGATCATTTCCATTTTCAGCTGAAGAATAGATTTAAGGCACTTGAAGTTGGGTGAGATAAGAGCAATGAGGACGAATAGAATGATGAAGAGACCAAAGTTTTAGAAGATGCAAGGATTAGTGCAGGACTAAAGAAGTATGACAGAAAACCTTAGAGAAGTGATGGTACATGGCAGTGTATTCAGGAAAGGAAGTGAAGCTTGATACATGCAATGCTAAATAAACCAATCAGGGAATCAGGGAAGAAGATTATACACAAACAGATGAAAAGTTGTGCAAGGCAAGATAATAGAGCAGATACTGACGGACTAGCTACAGAAGCATAACTAGCCGCTATAAGTGACTATAGTGTTATACTAAATAATACACTAACATAGTTAAGTAGTGTTTTTAGGGGTAGAGACAGACCACGAGATATTATGCTGGATGGGGTTAAACGATGGTATGGAGGAATAGCATCAAGAGAGCTGTTCATGGCAACCAGGGATCGTGATCTGTGGAGACGAAAGAGCGCCTACGATAGTTGGCAGGGCCCATGATAAGTATTTTTTAAACTGCTGAGTGGCCCCATTAAAAGTACGGATTAAACAATGCCTAAATCTAAAACTGAGATAGGCAGATCACTTCCAAGAGACTTTATACAGTTGTTCATGACAACCAATGAATAATTACGTAGTGGCTTAAAAGGACAATATTGTAAAATAAATCTAGGACAGGCAAATGACATTAAAATCAAGGAAACGATCCATTCTTTAGCAAACAGTGAGACAGCAGGTGATAGCAAAATTACTGCAGAAGTGCTCAAAACAGCAGACGATGTGACCGTAAACTGGGTAAAAGATTTGTTCAACAGAATACTGTCAATGACAAAAATCATCCTAACCTACACAGTCCGTGGCGACAGCACTAGACAGGCGACCCTAAATAAAATCATAGGCTCAAAGCCTACACCGCCCTAAAAAGTGGTAAAATAGACGGTAGTGACAGGTTTTTTTTTTAGGGAGGGGGGGGGGGAGCAGTTGACAATTATTTGAAATATCTATTGATTGGTTGATAAAATAAATGTTTTTATTGAAAATACTAGCATTGAGTGTTAGAATTTAGAGATCTAGATTTTGCAGATAATAATGTTCTGCAATGAAATGAAAAGAAAAGAAGCATCAAAGGCTGGACTACAAAAAAGTTATGAAAAGACAAAAAACCTGGAGGCACCAATAACAGATCAAGCAGATGTAACATTACAGACAAAATCAATTACAGTAACAGATCAATTAACTTTTTTTAAAGGTAGAAATAATAATTGTCAAGAAAGCACAATGAAAGAAAATCTAAATTATATAGTTTTAGAACCAAGGTATGTATTTTCAATTAAATTTTTTTTTCTTTTAAGCCTAAGTATGTGCCAGTGAAAGCTGGAGAGAAACAAAAGATATGGAATGAAATTTAAATGCATTCGAAAACAAATGCCTGAGGAAAACAAGTAAGTAAAGTAAAGATCCCTTTACACGCCCTTAGGCGCATCGGACATACGGGAAGAGCACCCATATTTTTATAGACCAATCGGCACTCGGTGGGTAATGTGGTCAGCATTACGCCGGCTGTCTTTACTTTCCCAGGACAGCCCATCCTGGTACCCATTTGAGGCTGGGTCGACCTGCGACGTCCCATTCCACGATAAAAATCCACGCAGCCCACGCAGGTTTCGATCGCGGTACGTTGGATTACGAGTCAGACTCGCAACGCCTTAGCCACGGACGCCGCTGCCTGAGGGAAATAGAGAGAGAAATAAATGGACGAATTCGAGAAGAGTGAAGAAATAATTTAATTAATGGGCAACCACTGGCACCAACAGTTAAAATACAGAGAATATGACGCTATATTGGGTGGACTTTCTAAAGAGAACTAAACAGAGAATTTGACGCTTTATTGGGTGGACTTTCTGAGAAGTGACGAACAGAGAATATGACGCTTTATTGGGTGGACTTTCTAAAGAGAAATAAACAGAGAATATGACGCTTTATTGGGTGGACTTTCTAAGAAGAGACGAACAGAGAATATGACGCTATACTGGGTGGACTTTCTAAGAAGAGACGAACAGAGAATATGACGCTAAACTGGGTGGACTTTCTAAAAAGAGACGAACAGAGAATATGACGCTATATTGGGTGGACTTTCTAAGAAGAGACGAACAGAGAATATGACGCTATATTGGGTGGACTTTCTAAGAAGAGACGAACAGAGAATATGACGCTATACTGGGTGGAACTTTCTATGAAATGGCGAACAGAGAATATGATAGAGAACATTTATATATGGTAAGGCGTAGGCAAGAGGGCTTGTTGCAAAGTGAATTATGGGACCTCAGAAAAACTAGACAATTTGCGATAAATGAAAAAAAAAAATTATTGGAAAAGATATAGAGGAATACAACGATACAAAGTACTGGACATAATTTTGTCATGACATTGAAAAATGTCAGCCCACAAACTGAATTATTAAATTCGCAATATTGGCGTGGGGAGATGCCTGATCACCCAGGCCAGTGAATGGAGATGAATTTAAGTACTGTATAGGTAGGTAGGTAGTTGTACCCCACCAGGACATCACACAAGGCATAAACACCCGGTGACACAAAGTGCCACCATGCGGATGAGGATCACCCTTGAAGAGGTACTAGAAATCCCTTTCAGCCGTTAGGTCATATCCCGGCTACATTCAGGGCCCAAGGAAGTAGCCAGAATGGGGCCTCAAACAAAAAAATTGCATCACTCGTGGGGACGTGTTGTAATTTTTATAAAAAAGCCCGTTCGTTTTTTTTTGTGAGCCGAAATTAAAATTCAATGACTTGCTAATCACAATTTTAAATATATTTTCCCATGGAATTCCTACCTGAAAGATTGATATCCAGTGATTCAAGAAGCTACTTTTGGATATGATTAAACATTTTGTTTTCCTAGTAACAGGTAGTTTTACAATAAATAATTAGTGGAGGTAATAGGCACTAGCGAAAATAGTGAAAGCATGACTTTTACAGTTGTTAATTATGGTTCAAAAGTAGTTGTTATGGAAGACAGATTTCTTTAGAATCTTCAAGCCAAATTTAAAAAGTCGCAGAACATACGACGTGATGATTATTGACTTCATGGGCTGAGCGTCAGTCACACACCATGCTTTGCTTGAAAATGAAAGACTTGATGCGATTAATGCTGGATTAACAATTACCCACTTCTGACACGTTCTTTTCTGGATTCAGTCAAGAAGCTCTCAGCAGCAGATTATTCTTTTGGCACTTATTCAACATCGATAGTTTTGTTAATTATGTTAAAATCAAAAGGATCGACTTAATATCATCGGTTATCGCTGGGCAGAAAGGCTAGCCTCCCGTTCCCGCTTCCGAGATCATCGCACAACATTTTAGATTTTTTGACGATCTCTGTGGATCTTCACAAAATCTCTACACCCGTGAAGCGAAGGTCAATTCTGTGAAACGAACCAACGACCTTCATGTCGCGAGGGAAGCGGCTTAACCACTTCACCATAAAGACTTTCCAAATATAAAAGTTAACAAGAATAATGCTGAATTGTAAATGATATACTACATACAGGTTTCTATTCTAGATTCAATTCGGAAGCTTTCATCCGCGTAATTTTTTGGCGCATGTTCAACATCAATGGTCGTAGAATCAACCTTGGTCCTCTTCTTTCAATTGACTCGCATTTGCAGAACTGTTTTCTGTTGCCTTCATCTCTGGATGATGGCTTATATACTTCTGCTTTTTGTGAAGGTAGAACTCATAAAAAGTCATACAGATGAGTATAATGTTCTTTAGAACTGAAGGGGGAAATGGCGGCACTGAAGCCATGCCAAACGATGAATCTGACAAGTAGGTTCGGAACGTTTACTGCAATCACTTGTAGCAGCCTGTGAGCATAAATGAGATGCTTCTGTAGCTTGTGATGTCCGAATTTCGTCCTGCTAAGAATAAGCAACGGGACTGTAGGAATTAATAAATTAACGGCAGCGACTGCTAAAATGAACTCCTGCAGGCCTTTCCAAAAGGCGTTCGGTTTTATCTCCGTCGAACAGAATTTCCAGAATGTCAACAGTATCCAGAATATCAAACACAACGGTGCCTGTGAGTTCTTCGATGTACAGCCGTCGTTCGCTTCCAAGTGGAGCGTTGTGTTGGGTGGTCAAGAGAAGGACAAAGATGCAGCTTCCAAGAGCAATAGTCGTCTTTAGAATGTTAGGACCAAAGAATGAATCCTCTTCCTCGAGGCCAGTGGCGATTTCGTTAAATAAAACAATAGTCTTAGCAGCCACCATTACATTTATCAGAAACCAGGAAATCCAGGCAAAACTGAATTCGTTATTCGCCCGGCTTTGATCTTTTCCTACAGTACACGAGGAGACGTATATGCAAGCAATCAGTAATGATAAATTGAAGGTATCAGGTACCAGCCAGATAAGGTGAAGCTCCGATATTTCACTGTACAGGAAAAAGTCCAGACTTGCTGCCTGGATCACGAACAAAAACATACACAATAGTTGTGCGGGAATTGCGTTGACTTTTAGACATAGTCGTACAAAGCAATCTCCTGCTTTAGTCATTTTTAAAGAGTTAGTTATTCCAAAATAGGAAAATATAACATAAGTTTGAACACATTTACGTCATTCCTTCAGAGACGGTTGATTCTTGATGGTTGGTTTGATAACCTAACATATTCTTTGTGAACTTTCTCAGAAGTCGTCAACCTGAACTGATTTAAACAATCCAAGTGTTTATTTGGGTGTTTCTTTAAGCTGGCCTGACTTAGGTTTAATATATCCGTTGTTTTAATCAACTTTCCTGTTGATTGTTGATCATTCGTTCTGAGCAGCTGATACTTTCTGCCATTCGTCTACAGTCGATTCGTTAACTGTTAGCTTGTTATGATACATTTATAATCTCAGCTGTTGTCCCTGACAATATTTTATGACTTGAATAAAATGTACAATATATACTCTGTTAGACTCTGGGCATATCATGATATGGATTGTCCTTTCTGGCTTATTTACCTCAAACTGAACAAGCTTCTTTTGAAATGTCTGAATCCGTTGCAATAAGGATGGACAATTCCAGGTAACGTAAACAAACTGGATCAGGTTGTTAACGTAAGATTTCCGAAGTGGCATGTCCCGTCGACCGGTGGACCATAATATGTGTTTTTAGTTAAATGGTTTCACATTTTGAATTACATAGCCCGCGCTCGTCAAGGTGCAAGGAAAGTGTCAGGCAATTTAGTATTCAATTTATTATTTGTGGATTTTTACGTGGCGAAGCTGAAGTCTGTGGTTAGAACGTTGCGAACTAGCGTAACTCTAAAGTGCCGGGGTTGATCCCAGCTGGGGGTGATTTGGCAGCAGACCCTCTTGCGTTAGTTTCGACAGTGGTATCGAGGGCCAAGCGATCATTAGCAAAGGCAAACTACTGACGTACAATTGCCTAATGAAATTATAAATAGACAACAAATACTGCGGTTGGTTCTTCGATGTCTTTCAATGGATATGTGCATACATTTTTTTTTTGCGGCATTTCTGTGACCTGCCGCTACCTGAGCCAAATATTGACGAATCCAACTTAACAGCAGACTTGAAGTATACGTTCAGCCCATTCGTCGTCGAGGGTGGCTTTCGTCGACTTTACCACAGCAAAAAGTATACCAGCATTTCACGTGCCTGAAGAAAAAGTATTTAATTTGATTGTTACATGTAAACAAACATGAGCAAAAGCATAAATACTAACTGAAAAACACAAGGAAAGTAAAGAACATAAAGAGCTTGAAGAAGAAAAAGAAGATAGACTCACTGTCCAAGAAGTAAAAGCTAAGGCGATCTGACTGGCTGGTTTGCTTTGCTGGACAAAAAAAAAAAAAAAAAAATTCGTCACCTTCAAACAGGATCCTCGAATGGGGTGCTTTAGGTTATAACTGTGACTAGGTGATGTGCGCCATATACACTGGCTTAGTATTGCTACAGACCAAGTAGCCCTGAAAAGGACTTTTGCAGTATTGATGCGATCAAAGGAGACAGAACTAAATACTGTCCCGACCGGCGACGAAGTCGTCTATCGGCAAGGTAATGGGCGACCCAGTCGCCGATGATGACTTAGGCGATCACGAGTGTGGAGGAGGTCAAACGCAGGGCAGGAAGCCCGAGGTAAGTAGCAATAAGGCACGGGTTCCTAAACTATAAGGCTTGAGGTTTGAGGTTTTAACAACGGATCAACATCATGGCACGCGGGTAGTAAACCATAAGTGCTCCGTTCTTCTTCTAACTCAAGTCTGAGTCTGAAGAAGCTCAGCACAGCGCACAGGCTCTATAGCACCGGTGTCATAGCCCTGTGGGACAGAGTATAGACAATACGTCGTGTAACTACATGTTGGTGTTTGACGGACCAAAAATGTGCACCAGCGCTCAGCCAGTTGATTTGATGATACGGGGAAAACCCGAGATGCGTAAACACTGGTGCAACGTACACGTTTGAACCGGAGCTGAACGGGGAGAGGAGAGAGAAAGGACGCGCGAGGATGAGGACATTTTGAGAGACGTGATTGTATTTTTTTGTTAGGAATTGACAGATAAAATGGAGGCTACGTCCGTTAGGATTTGAACCAAATTGATACATAACGGCAGTTGTTCTGTAGATTTTAACCCAACCTTAGTAGTTGATTGAGATAGAATGTTACTAGAATATTATATGTGTTGTCTGACTAGGGTTAACTATTGACAAAGTATAGATTTTTAACAGTTTTTTGTGGTCATTTCGTTTATGGTCATAGTGCAGACATATTTCGGCTCGTCTCTTAATTCATGATATGGCTACTGAGTTGGTTTCATTGCGTTGCTGGGATGGTTCCCTTAATTAGTGGCATCGTATGCGCAATCAACTCCTAAAAACTTGATAGTGATATCGAGTCTTGTCTGATTTATTGTTAGCACTAGATTGTGATTGTTTTGTGAATAGTGTCTAATGTTGGCGTCTTGACTGTGTGTATTTAGTGGTAACGACTGAATGTGTTATAAATAGGGTGCGTCTTGACGGATAGGCGACGATAGGGCGACATACACGGTAAACAAGTATATTTTTTTTGGAGTGCATCAATGCGTGATAAATGTG